TTTCTGCTACATAGCTGCAACTTATGTTCTTTCTTCGGCGTGGAGACTTACTGAAATTTGTTTGTCCCAAGGGGACCACTGAGCCAAATTCAGGACATTTCCCGCCCAACAGTACTCTCTAACGCCTCTGGTAGATGGCGGAAGCATCGAGATACCGCTGAGCCAGTAGAGGCCGAACTCGCTGGCTGAGTCGGGACTGATGGCACGCACCAGTACCGGTAGAGAATATAGACTGGTAGAATATCATAGGGGGACGCACAATGGACCAACAGTTGGTCTAAGCGCATGGAGAAACCCACCCTCTGCAATACAATACAATAAAATACTGAAATTTGTTACGGAAATTTTCTTAAAAGGGGCGAAAAAATGCGTCAGATTTCGAACCTCACTTAACACTGCCATGGAACAAGGCTTTAGTTCGAGGCCAGTGTAGGCCATTCGTCGCTGATGTCCTGTGAGTAAGCGTCTCCGCGCCATGTTACACGAACTCCGCCAATCACAAAGAAAATACCAAGCAGTTTACACACTTCGATTTCTGCCTCATTTTCAGTAAGCATGAAACTGAATAAATGTTAGCTTTTTTCTTCTTAAAAAGTAACACGGTTGTTGGATCTTTACATCGGCTTCTAGCAACAATTGCATCTAATGTTACCTGCACTTCACTTTCAAAATACGCGATTCATAAAACTATGACGAAATCCTTGGAATAATCTTGTTGCCAGAAGATACTGGAACAGTTTCTGATAATTGAAGCTCAGTGGCGATGAGTAGCACGTTGTGCTTGGCATGCGTAACAGTCGATAGAGCATTACAAGCGGTTAGGTTTCCGATATGGAAAGTGATGGGATATGGGTGAATGAATCAGTGACACAACATCGACAGTAATAATAGCGGCACCGTTTCATTTTCCGTTCTGATCAATTAATTTCCTCTTTTGATACACTTTCTTCTCCTTTTGTCTCGGTTGCAGAGTTTCTGTTATGAAGTTCGTTGGCATCTGGCGTTATTCCTGTACGAGTGGCCATCGACTCCGATCATAATTTCGAAACAAATTTAAATCATGATTTCGTTTCAAGAGGAAGTAACTCCGTTCATGTCACATAAGCAGGAATATCGTGTTCGGAGCGAGGTTCCACATCACCGGAAATGTGAACTTATTCATAGGAGAAACTACACGTGACAACTAATTACGATATTGAGACATTTTAGTATTAAATACAAAGGAAGGTACAATAATGTTAGTCTACTAGGAGTAAGAAGGATGGGTGACAAGAATTATACATTTTTAGCAAACTGTGGGGCTCCAGTCTTGTTCTTGTTAACTCTCACCAAGAGGAAGTGAGTTCATTACCCTGCCGCTATGTATGAGACATTTGCATTAGAGCAGTGTTTTACTGAGGGTGAGCCTATAAATTCCAGCCTCGTTACTAATGATATCAGGACCTACTGACGGTAGATCTGTAGATTTTTTTCCTTGGCACTACAGCCCCAGTGCGCCTAGGCCTACCTCCATGAACTTCTCCCTTCACTTCGGTTTTGACTGCGTGGGCGGGTGATCAGCGCGTCGCAAGGCCTCTTACCTGTACACAAACACAGAAAAACGCGCACACACAAACTAAACATCCATGCCCTGAGTGGGATTCGAACCCACGATCCCGGTTTCCAAGCGAGCGAAGACAGTACATGCCTTAGAAATAGGTAGATTGTCACCATGTATTCTCTTGAGATGTTAACTCCCACGATAAGTGCTTTATAGACTCTCTTTATCTCACGCATGTTATACCGTCTTGTTACGTAAATTTGTTTCGTAAGACCGGTCAAGTGTTATCCTACATTAGTTATCTGTAGTTTTCCTCAGTACCTAAAGTGCGAATTTCTGGATGCCATAACACAATACACAAAAATTCTCTGTGGGATTATTTATCCTGGTTTGTATTGCGGATGTCTCGGGTTCGAATTTTTTTCTATAGACCGGCTAGGTCTATGATCAATAACTTTTCATGGTCTTTCTCAGTCCCTCGTGTCAGTATGCTACGAAGTCTCCTTCAACATCCATCCAAATCCATTCACATTCATCTTCTTACTAGACGCTACTTAAGCTTTCGGCTGAGCGTCGGTATATAAAGAATGTATTAAAGTAAGCCATTACAGTTCCTTACCATCCCCCCTCGACATACTTATAAAAAGTGCCCAAGGATAATTTACAAAGCAATTTAAAAATGTATTTCAAAATTAATAAACAAGTCAAGTAGCACCACGCTATATTATTAAGTAAGTATTGAAAAATTAGTTTATGCAATTCAAAGAGCGTGTTGTTCCAAGACTCATGTACAGAATTAATTAGATGATGGCATGATAAGGGGGCAAATGTAATTAACAGGTGTTTACATCATTATCAGTAGGTGTGCCAGCTTCGTCCTGTACAAAATGCAATTACTGAGCTGTATACGGTGATCTCTCTATCATGTATGTATGTGATATTAACTCTACCCTTTTTGCATTTATAATATTACAAGTTTTACCAGTTTTACCTTATTGAAGGAATATATCTCTGAGGATGACATTTGAATGTCGACACATATCTGGTCACCAGTCAAGTAAAAATAAGTAATAGACGTCACATTATACTGCGACCTGACTATTCTGATAGGTTTTTCAGAAGCCACACGCTAGTAGTAGGAGCAGTGTTGCTATTTAAGCTACATTACATTTGCCTCGTTATTGTGTTTCTGTTCGTTGTTTTATGGTATCTGAGAAGTATTATGTTTTATATAATGACACCAAATTGATTCTGAATTAAGTTTTCCTATCTTTTTATCAACCCCCCACTGAAAACCTCCCGAACAGCGAGTCTTGTAATGAGGTTGACTGAATACTCTGTCCACCTTCACCGTTATTAGAGATTTCAAATAACAGATTCAATATATTCAGTATATGGTATACAAACATGGGCCGCTGCAGGGTGATTTGTATGTTTGCTTCAGAGCTTAGAAACCTCTACGCATTTTTAATTTGAGAGGCAAGAGGGCCGACGCCCTTGTGCATGTGACAATTTATTTGACTTGTTTGTAAAACTTTACGTGTAAACATTTGTTTCTCTCCGTGGAAATTGTTAGCTTTTATGCCGACAGATACGGATTTTATCTACAATGTTCAATGGCCGTTTAAACATTACATCACTGAACATGAAAATTATGTAATTCAATCCATAAGAAAATACAGAGCGAAGAATAAACCAGTTACCTACGTACGCATATGTAATTGTTTGGCTGTGTAACCTGGATTCAGCATGGCTAATACGAAAGCCAAATTATTTCCCAAAGACTATTCTCTCATTTATTCATTTTCTACTCCTAAAATGGCGCTTTTCGCTAGAATTACATACCATAAATATGAAATTATATTATTTTAAGTATGTATAAAATATATGTCGTACGTAATGACGTAGGAACAATTACACGAAGCAAAATTGACATTAAATTTGAAAATTGAACAAAATATTATTCCTATTTCTGGGACCAGTAGGTTTTCTTCAAAAGATTCTCTTCTGTCCAAGATGTATGGATTTAAACCACAATAGTGCAGATTCTGTTTTCATGAATATGAAAAGCCAAGGACGATGATAGGAAAAGAACCACAGAGCGCAACCGAGATGACGTTACCTTACGAAAAACAAAAAACAAACAGACAATTTCAGCGGTGTGTGATGTGCATACATGTACATGTTTCCTCTCAAGAATAGTAATGTTCGAACAAGCCGATAAAACAAGTTAAATTTCTTCTTGGACTCGTACAGGGCTTTTAATTCCGTTTTAGATCTGTTAGACCGAGGACTTGATGGTGTCAACCCTATGACAGGGAACAGTCAAGATAAACAGACCGAAGATTGGTATAAGTTCTGGTTTCAAAATGCCAGAGACAAAGATATAACCTACGACATACCCAAGTATGCCTTCCGCTTTTCTTCGTAAAATTAATTAATCGCGTGTTGTAAAATGTACAGGAAACAAGTAACAACAAAGTTGTGACACAAGTAACATATCTACCTGAACTCCCACCCGCTTACCCACTTACCAAATTACTTTCTCACATATTCACCTATCTACCCATCTAATTACCTACCTACCCAGGCCGTGCCAAGGTTCAGGCGGTTAGTCGCCGGCTTCCTACAGCGGCGTCCCCGGTTCGAGTCCTGGTCAGGACATGTGGGATTTGTGGTGGACAAAGTGGCACTGGAGCAGATTTTCTTCGAGTACTTCAGTTTCCCCTACCAATTCTCATTCCACCGATTGCTCCACACTCATCATCTATCGTTCGGCGTTGGTACTATAGGTCAGTTAGTGGCCGACGTACCAAGTGTACTCAGTCTCACCCCACTCCAAGTAACTAAAAGAACTTACCTACCTTCCCACCTACCCCATCTAAACCATCGTCCACTACTATCCCACCTACGCAGGCGTAGTACTTCTACCTGTAGATACTACTCGTATAGAGTTCTGACGATGGTGTATATCACACAGAGATACTGGGTTTTCTGACTTTGTCCATCGTCCGGATTCTAAATAACTAAGAAAAAACATAACGTTTCGGAAACTGGATCTGCTTCCGTCCTCAGATGAGGGGAGACAACTACTCTGTTGGGTCCCTTAGGCCAGTGATTGAGGGTAGCTCTTTCTAAGGGACCCAACAGAGTAGGTGTCTCCCCTCACCTGAGGACGGAAGCAGATCCAGTTTCCGAAACATTGTGTTTTTTTTCTTAGTTATTTAGAATCCGGACGATGGGCAAAGTCCGAAAACCCAGTACTTTTTCCTGTGACTTTCAGAATTATTTTGGCCTTGAATTTGACCAGTAAATTTGTTTTAAGTGAAGTAGGCATGGTCATAAATCGGTATTTTTGTTCCATGGTATTGATCAAGTGTTTGTTTAGTATCGAAATGTATATATGTCAATTATATGAATAGAGCTCAAATTCTGAAGGATTTTCCATTTCTCATTACAGGATTCATTCGCTACATAACAAGGTTAGAAATGCCAACTGACTGCATCAGCTTCAAGGTAAAACGTTCAACAGAAATGCATATTACATTTCTTCATATCTCTCAGAGAGAAGCGGCAGTTCCCAGAGCGAAACTGAGTAGCTTACATAGTATTCAAGTTTAATGAAATCTGATATTCCAAGTGTACAGTTACACAGTCTATTAATATTATCCTATAGAAATGTATCAACATACACTAATAAGAATTTGTACATAAGGCCAGTGCGAACTCTCTTAATTTAAGCGCTTAATTTTGCACCTGAAGGAATCTTGCGAATGAACTCAGATTGTACCCCAATTGGTGTATTTAAACTAACCAATAATTATTCAGATATATTTACTTTACAGATAAGGTAAACTCGAATGTGGAGCATTGTCGGATTCATATTTATGATTGCTTTTGGGCCAGAGGGGGGGGGGAAAGGCAGAATTAACGACTAATTCATATTCAGTACCAAGAACCATAAATCGGGTTATGTTCTATGCGTAAAAGGTAAAAGGTAAAGCTATTCCTGTAACAGGCCGTGAAGGCCCATAGGGTTGTGAGACGTCGAGGCTCTCACGTTTTCTCTAGACCAAGGGTCTCCAAACTACGGCCCGCGAAAGAATTGTGCAGAAACGCGCAAACTGAACTAATTTTCCAGTAAGTACTGGTAAATGTGATTCCGAGCTTATTGACCTGACATATTATACTGCAGTTCGATGGCTTAGCTGTGGAAAGGTTCTTTCGCGCTTCTTTCAGCTCAGGAATGAAATTGATATATTTCTTACCGAGAGAAACCATCACGAAACACTTTTATCAGATACCGAGTGGCTTTGGAAATTATCATTTTTTGCTGATATGGTGAACCATATGAACCATTTGAATTTAAAGTTGCAGGGTGAAAATAACTTAGTCTGTGATTTATTTGCACTTATCAAGGAATTCAGAGCAAAGTTGATACTTCTGGAAAGCCACGTTTCCGAAACGTTGTGTTTTTTCTTAGTTATTTAGAATCCGGACGATGGACAAAGTCCGAAAACCCAGTATCTCTCTGTGTGTTATACACCATCGTTAGAACCCTGTAGTATCTAATTGTAAATTTTATGTTTACGATCTGTCAGTGTGGCGTAAATTTCAAACAGTATCTTAACGCTCATGAGGAGAGACTGAGAAAAGCACGACATGTTTAGAATGGCAGGCTGTGTCCCGTGAATCGAAATGGCTCAGTAACTGGCCGAATCGAGATTTCAGGAGAACAATATTAGTTCTCATCTTATCTCCTCTGGTGCACAATGTTTCATATACCGGTAATCAGTTTATTAAAGATATTAATTGGACATAACTTTATTTTATGGCCTGTTCCTACAAATAATTGAAAAAGGTAAAACAGTTAGTTGCTTATTTCATTCAAATACTGTATATCCACCTGCCGACTGATGATAAGCTATCAGATTGCAGATAAGTAAACCATCTGTTGGAAATTCAGATCCGTGTTAGTTATTTTTTGCACTTCTTTGTCTTTACTCATTTTAATACTCTGACTTGGAGTAGTTTCTACAAAACTGTCCTCACTAAAATTATGATTATGTCACGATTAAATTGATCGCCGAAACAGACACCTCCTTCAGCTTGTCTCTAGATAATCGGTTGTACGAGGTCTGACAATAAAGTTCGCGAACCTGCCACCGTGTGCTTACCCTGGCAGAAGTGGTCAGAAATCTCAGTATGGGTTGATGACGTTGGAATACCAAGTTTACTGTTTGGAAGTACTAAAAAGGCTGCGTTGACACGTTAGATGGAGAAGACCCCGAATTTTGCCAACACTTCATGAATCTTGCATCACGACAATGCACCTGCTCACACGGCACTTTGTGAGGGAGTTCTTAGCTAGTAAACAGATCACTGTGCTGCAACACCTTCCCCTATTCACCGGATCTAGCCCCCCAGTGATGTTTTTCTATTCCAGGAGATGAAGGAAATATTGAAAGAAAGGCATTTCGATGACATTTGTGACATCAGGAATAATACGAATGCAGCTCTGAAGGCCATTCCACAAAACCAGTTCCAAATTTGTTTTAAAGGGTCGACTAGGCACAGAGATCGGTGCAGAGCTTCCAAAGGGGAGTACTTTGAGGGCGACCACAGTGATATTCAGCAATAACATAATGAATTACTTTAACCGCGATTAGTGCGCGAACTTTATAATATTTATCTTCCGTGTTCTTATTTTGGGAAATTCTAAATTGTGGGAACCGATGTAATTATCATTTCTCTATGAACAGTAACATATTCTACGTACTGACGTAAAGTCTTCTTCTTCTTATTATTATTATTATTGCTAGTGGGGTGGGACTAAGTCCCTTGTACTGCGGCCACTTGTGGCCTATTGTACCAGCCCGAGATGATAGGTGAGGGTGATTGTGGAGCAATTGGTGGAATGAAGATTGGCAGGGGAAACCGAAGTATTCAAAGAAAACCTGCCCCAGCGCCACTTTGTCCACCACAAATCCCACTTGACCAGACCCGAGATCGAACCCGGGCCGCCGCGGAGGGAAGCCAGCGACTAACCGCTTGAGCTATGGCGCGGTCTAAAGTCTTCTTACTAGAGGTGCGATAGGTTTACTAATTATTTTTTCTTATTCCCCAACGCTTTTGTTACGCAAGTTCTTACGTCATAAGTAGGCCCGCTCAGAGCGAGCGCACAATCCTAATAGACCCTACACATACGCTTCAAATGACACGTGCTGATTCTTTAGACTTCGTTTTACTCACTTATTGTCATAATTTTTTTTACGATTTTAATTTTGCTATGCCTAGTGTTCTCTGAAACATTTACATAATTTATTTGACAGCTAAATAAAACCTTTTATTAAGAGGATTGTAGGAGTCTATAAAGTTAGTTTATTTGAGTAATGATTCTTTACTTGCCCTTGAAGATAGATGGCAGCCAAGGCCGCGCCATAGCTCAAGCAGTTAGTCGCTGGCTTCCCACCGCGGCGGCCCGGGTTCGATCCCGGGTCTGGTCAAGTGGGATTTGTGGTGGACAAAGTGGCGCTGGGGCGGGTTTTCTCCGAGTAATTCGGTTTCCCCTGCCACTCTTCATTCCACCGAATTCTCCATCATCATAATCACCCGGGGCAGGCTATAATAGGCCAATCAGTGGCCGCCGTGCCGAGTGGACCCAGTTGGACTCTACCCCCCACTAAGCGAATTAGATGGTAGCCAAGGTCTCTATGATATGATTCCGCTTCAGCCACTTCAATATCCGCGCTTTTTTATTGTATGATGTGAACGCCGCAAATGTTTAAACAAAAATCTGACAAAATATGATCCGAGGGCCACGTAATTCTCAGAAAGTGTCAGTGACTGGTATTTTTGATCTAAGCTGTGATGAATTATCGTGGGTGATATTGGTGTCACAAAAAGTATAGATATTCATAAATATTAAAAGCAGTGTTTACCTTCAAATGCAGTTTATTAATTATGCAAAACCCAGGTAGGAATTTTCCTCCGTCTATTCTGAGACCAACAGTTTCTAGTAACTAATAACAGAAGAATTGGTGGCCCCTCTATACTCATTTATAGCACTAATTGATATTATCCAACGATACCTTAAATATCTGTGCAGTATTAAGATAGAATATTTCAACGGTAACAAACGACACCTATTTCCGTATATGCAAGATGGCAGAATTCCCAACAGCGAAAATCGAAATTTATAATATTTAAGCATATCTCAGCCGGTCACGGTAGCCGAGCGGTCTAAGACATGTACTGTCTTCGCTCGCTTGGAAACCGGGATCGTGGGTTCGAATCCCACTCAGGGCATGGTTGTTTAGTTTGTGTGTGTGCGTTTTTCTGTGTTTGTGTACAGGTAGAGGCCTTGCGACGAGCTGATCACCCGCCCAAGGAGTCCTACCGAATGTAAGATCTAGAAAAACCAAAGTGAACGGAGAAGTTGATGGAGGCAGGCCTAGGCCCACTGGGGCTTTAGTGCCAAGGGGAAAAAAAGCATATCTTATCCTTGTTGCAGAAAGGATAAAGAGTATTATAAATAGTGGGTACTTATCTGTGTTAGCCTTATTCCAAGGAAATAAAAACTGACTCACAAACCAAAGAGTTCGGTTTTTGGGTTATTATAGCACCATGCAGTGCAGTGAAAGTCAGTCGACGTTTCATAGGAACACACCTTCTCCATTTTAAGGGTCGAACAATAAGTCAAGCAAGAAACCAGCATGAAGCATGTAGCAGGCACAGCTCTGCTTATTGTCTGGGGACCTCGAAGTGTGAGTGAGTGCTTTCCTAAACTCTGTTCGGCCGTTTTCTTATGGTTTACTCAGCTCTGGCGAAACCCCTGCTTCGTGCACTTATTTTCGTGTAGCCCTGCCTTTCGGGCTGAGAGTTGTGTTTTCGTGTTGTAGTATTGCGTTAGTTTATTATTATATTTCAGGCCTTAATCTCTGTAAGCCACCGCAATGCGGTTGCATAGCCACACCACGATTAGTGGTTACGGCAGGAAATCAGAATAATGCATGTACCAAGCAGAGCACTGGTTGCTGCATGCTTCATGCTGGTTTCTTGCTCGTCTTACTGTTCGACCCTGAAGATGGAGGTGATACTTTCGTATGAAACGCCGGTTGACTTTCACCGGACTACACGGTGTCATATTCCAGAAGGTACAACTCTACATAACCATCGCTGTGGGAACCTCGAATCCAACAGACTAACCATTCATAGCAATCTCTGTTATCTGTTCCACAGTAGTAATTTCTGTACCAGTGGAGCCATGAATACATCGGTATTGTGGCTATGCCACCGGGGGTTCATCGTTACGCTACAGCGCCCAGTCCGATTTTGCGAACGTTTAAGATAAGGACTACTGTCCATAATAAATAATTTATAAGACATTGTGGCTAAGTTTATGAGAATTACGTGATAATAAACGACGAAATATTTACAAAATTTGTTCAAGATCGCAAATTAAAGGGTGATATTTACGACC